AAGCTAATCTTACCAAGGGGTCTGATGTATCAAAGGAACAGAATAGGACCTATGACTGAACCCTGAGGAACACCATACAATAACGGAGTGATCTTGGACTGTATGTTATTCACAAACTTGGAAAAAACTATAAAAAAAAAACTCATTAAACTCAAGTTTACAGTGTACTGAAAACTTAAAAATGGGAACTGAAACAAAATTGTTCCGTAGCAGGGTTTGTTGTTGCAGTTGAAACTTATGTTGACTAGACGGCTGTAAATTTTAAGGTACGACAAGTTCGGTAAACTTTAAATCCCCACAAAGGTAAGATGGAGCGAGCGCGCTCTCTGTTGGGATTATGTAACACATTAGTTGTTATGTTAGTGTGATGCTGAGGTTTTGAAATGCTGCTCACTCAGCGTCAGCAGTCAGGAGCAGAAAAAAAAAATGCTTCAGTGAAAACGCTAACTCCAATAAACACAGCACCGACTAATCCCTCCTTACAAATGACAAATCATCTCTTACGCACAAAGACTTCAAAGCAAACGGTTTCTTGCTTCTCAGACTTCAAATGATGGCTTTTCTCTGACAGAAGTTCACCAAACAAACCACTTCAGGCCAGCAGCATTTGCTAAAATGCTCAGTAGGGCCAGCTAAGCTCCTGATATTGGTCTGTGTGTGTGAGTGACCATTTAAGTGCCGTTCAGCCCCTCCTGAGTGTTTGTGGGTATAAGCATTTCCTCGGACATTTTTGCCAGCTTGCACCTTGTGTTTGTGTGTCCTTGAGAATATGTTGGTTTTGTGCATGTGCGCTCGACGGTGCATTAAAGGCTTTCTGTGGGTGCAAGTGTGCAAGGGAGCACATCTATGTTTTAAAATGGCACGCTATGCTGTGGCTTAAATGCTTTTAAAGTCTTGGTTATAGAAAAAAAACGAAAATAATATATAAGTTACATTTAGTATAAAGTGAAGATGTGCTTGATCACTGACCCTTGGCTTGTCTACCTGATTCACCCTGAACTGTTTTATTTAAAGTTACTTTTGACTTGAATATTGTCTGATGTTTTCCACATTCACTGTCCTTGGACTCAGTCAGCTACAATCTGAATAATGTTTACTTGTTTCTATGATTTTAAGAAAGAAAGAACAAAATCATTAATTAAGTTTGTTTTGTTTGATTATGACAGGTGTGAACATGAATAATGATGATTTTTGTGTTCAATCATTGTAATGGAATCATGTTAAATTGTAACGTTGTCTCAGTTCTGTTGTCAGAAAATAACTTTTCCTTGAGAGACACTTTTCTGTAAGTGTTTTTTTTTGTTGTTGTTGTTGCCAGAATCTGTTTACCTGTATGTAAAAGGGGAGTTGCTTTTTCATTCAATCTTTATTTATGCAGGTTAGTCTCATTAAGCCTCAAGGACTCATTTACAAGAAAGACCTGTTTTTAACAAAGAATGATGACAACAGAAGACAATCTTAAAAGAAGGCATATAAATTTAAAAAACAGAAATACAAATAATATTAAAAAAAGAAACAAAAACAGCTACATTGTAAAGCCTTGTAAAATACTAAAAACAGGAACATGTCTGCGTCGGTTGTTCCCAGGAACTTACCAGATGTTTGAAGCCACATAGAGAGGTCAAGGGTGAGAGCTTCAGATCTTTTTGCAAGATATTCCATGATACAGGAGAGGAGTAGGAGAAGACCATTTTAACAAGTTCAGTCCGCACTGAGGGAACACTGCATGTAATAATGTCCTCAGTGCGCACGCTGTAGCTGCACTCACGCAGCGACATGTAGGAGATGTATGAAGGCAGCAGACCAAGAAGTGATTTAAAGATGAAAATGTACCAGTGTCTACGTGAAGTTAATGATGATCAATGAATACAGGGATGGTTAAAGTACAGCCAGTTATGAATCTTAGCGCACCGTGATAGACAGAATCCAACCTCTGCAAGATGCTTGTACTTTGTAGGAGCGTTCATGTAAATGTCACCGTAGTCAATGGAGGGAAGGAAAGTCACAGTTACAAGGTGTTTTCTAGCATTCAGAGTTAGACAGGATCTATTTCTGAAAAAGAAACCCGGTTTAAGTTTCAGTTTCCTTACCAAGTTTTCGATGTGGGGCTTAAAAGAGAGCTGCGAGTCGTTATAATGTTTGAGAGTTTGCCAAAACACTTCTGAGAGTTCAAACAAAGTTTCTATGTGTTACACTTTTCAGTTCGTATGTTTTCCCCATCCTGATGCGTTTGTCTGATTTCCGTCTTTGTTCATTTCTGAGCAAAGAAAACAAATTTGTTAAGTAATAATTTTTGTTAGACAGTTTCAGTAAACTATTGAAGATGAAACATTGTTGTTGTTCTCACTGTAAGACTCGTTTTTTTGGCCTAAAGTGTAAGCCAGCTGAAGGTTGTCAATTGCCAGCACACCTCATCAGCTGAGACACCGATCCTTGAAGTGGTCAGTGACTTTCAGCTACCTTGGGCAGTGCCTGGCCTGGCTAGTCCTCTCCTCATGGTCTATCCTGGTCTGACCCACCAGCAAAACCCAGAACGATGAGTGAACCCAGCCCTCAAACTGACCCAGTAAGGAGCTGGGATCTGGTGGCATGATGCAACTTTGGGTCTGGTTATGCCATTTTAGCTGATGCAGCTTGATCAATCATTTCCTGGCTTGCAGTGAAAACACATGACTTGATCCAGTCACATTAAATAACTTCTCTCAACCAAATTCAAAGTAAACTATTTAAATTACTGAACCTATATTAACTATTTAAACTTTGACTAAATTTGTGCATTTATAAAAGCCAAAAAATTCCTGCTCTGTTTTTTTTTTTTGCCTTATATAAAAGAAAATTAAAACTTGACTTGACAGAATTTTTTTGGGAGAAGCAGTGTAATTACCATCAGAGTGACAATAATTTATTTATTTATTTTGTTCCCATCTTGGCTTTCTAAATGTCTTTTTTATCAATGCATATTTTTTTTAACATTCTGAAGGCCTTTAAAAACTGTTTTGGATCCTGAAAGTTTGCTTGTTTTAAAGTGCTAAAACTTGTACCCATAAAAAGTGGGTTTATTTCTGTTTTTGTATAAAAGTATTAAAAGTTATAAAATAACTTCTTTGTTAAGGGACAATCATAAACATTTATGTCCACTTTTCTGGGCATCAAATTAATTTCTAATTTCAAAATAAAACCCAGCTAGTCACACAAACAGCCATCTTCATGAACACTGACAGGTGTTTCTAGTCAGCTGCTGACTTCTTGTTTATTACAAACTGTTTTTTTTCTGTAAAAAGAATAAAAAAAAACAAGTTTTTGTTGTTGTCAAGTTGTTGTCTTTAATTTAGCCTTGTCTTGTATTTTACTGATAAATGTACAGAGATGCAGCTTTCAGCTATAATTGTGAACCCAGCTGGAAGCAAAAAATAATCAGTTAATTAATTAACAGATGTGGGTACACAATATGTTGTAAGTTTATACGCGAACAGACAGTATAAATTTGTTATTGTCACTTCTGAAACGTCACATGGTCAATGTATTATAATTGAGTGCTGTGTTGAAAATGACAACATTGTGGTCTGAAGTGAAAGTAGGGAGCAGGTGGAAGAGAGTCTGGAGAGGTGGAGGAAAAAGAACTAATGAAAATGAACCTAAATAGAAACAGGTCCATCATGACATTTCAGGTTTGGAGACAAAGTTAGAAAAGATGCTGAGATGGTTTGGATATGTGCAAAGAAGGGATAGATATTTCAGATAAAGGATGTTGAATATGAAGAGGAGTGCTGGTGTGACAGAGGAGGAAGGATGCTGGGAAAGTGTGAGCATGAGGCAGATGATTTGCTGTGAAGACCGCTAACAGGAGCAGCTGGAAAGAAAATCATTGCATTCTATTTTTTATTTACATTCCATAAAACATCTTCACTTTTTCAGACATGGAGTTTCACCTCAAATACAAATACAAAATTGTACATATTTAGCTAATTTTTCGATTGAAAAGGCACATTGAGGTGCTCTGAAGGTGTGCTTTCCTCTCTCCTCCATTCATGTAAACACCGAGTTTTCTAAAGTAAAAAAAAAAAAAAGTTAACGATTATACTAGGGTTGAGGTTCTGTTATGCACATGTACATTACATGTGTTTGTATGTGGTTGTGCGTTACCTGTGGACACAAGGAAGTTAAGTTAGCGGCTGCCTCCCATTCAACACATCCTGTTGTGTGTGTGTGTGTGTGCACAAGTGCTGGAAGAAACTAAAGAGAAGGCGCAAGATGAATTTACAGTTGGTGACGGGTGAGTCCTTCACAAGATGGGGTCAGCATTACATTCTGGAAAAAAGGATGACATTGTGAGGATATTTAATGAGAGGATAAGAGCCGAAACCAAGGGAGGGGGAATTAGCCTTTTTAGATATCATTAAACATTGATGCTGTCAGGGGACTGCAGCACGCTGGGGCTCCTTTTCCATGACTTTCATGCTGTGTGCTAATAGAGCTTCACCTCTGGGGACCTCCAGCCCCCACACCCACCGTTAACTGTAGATTATAGGAGGCTATTCACTGCCTCTTCGTTCTTTCTCTCAAGTGCAGTTTTACTGCAATATAACAATTTAAAACAAACCTTATTTTAGGATAACTATAGTTTGTAAAACCTGAATGAAGTAGTCGTTGTGCTTTTTATGTTAAACCTAAAATAATAATGAATTTTCAGCACAAATGTACCAATTATTTGTCAACTTTAGGTGTCACTTTTCTTCTCAAGTGTTTTTTTTGTGGTTTTCACCTCCAACTGAATTGTGTTGTTCACATGAATCACCAGCAGAGGGCAGTAAGATCCTCCAAAAGAGAGGAATCAGCCTTTCATCGTGTATCCACAACTGTTTTGTGTGTTTGGTTTGTACATGAGTGTGTGTGAATGAATGCACCTAATCTCTGTGATACCAGAAGACGGTGATAGATGGAGCTGCTGCACAAAACTCAGCTGACCTTTATTTTGAAAGAAATGTATTCATGTTTTGCAGGGTTTCTTTTCTGGTCCTCCTCAGGAGAGCTGACTGTGAGGATCTCACCTGCACAAAGTAAGAAACAGCATTATTTCTATGCTAAACCAATAAATAGCTTACATGTGGCCTCTTTTTACACTAAACACTTTGAACCTTGAGTTTATGCTGCATGATGTGCATTGAAATATTCAGCAGCACACTTGGAGCGTATTAACAATATTTTTAACTTCTTTTTCTAACAGATCCTCTGAGCCCAGCTGCCAAATTAATTTGGTTTAAAACCACTTTAGCTAAACTTGTGCAACAAAGTAAGTCCAGTTATGTACTTTGATTGCTCTAAGTAGATTTCTTTAATTATTCTACATTTTTTGGCCTGAATTACAATTTAAAGTTTTTTTTTGTATGGTAACCAAATTACAGTCCTAACTATTCAGCAGCAGTCACAGTGTTTGTATCCAGGACTTTTGTTTTTCTGTAATAATTAGTGAGGGTTGGAACATAGACAATTAAATGAAGAGCTTTTACTTTTGGCTTAGCTTCTTCTTCACTGTGACAGACCAGATCAGCAGCTTCATTACAGCAGACATGGCTCCGCTCCACTGATCTATCTCCTCCAAAGATGATGGGAAGAAAAGCATCTTTAGCAACAGAAAATATATACATTTAATTTATGGCTTTATTTATTTATGCATTTAGTTTTTTGCTTGCCATGGATGACTAAAAATCTGCACCATTCATGGTTTTTCTATACAAGTGAAGCAAAAGTGATTTTTAATTTCTTGGCTGTCAGATTTCTTTTTTCTATCAATTTTATTTAATAAATTCAGTTTTTCTTAAATTGCTCCAAGTGTTTGCAAATAAACATTGACACTCACTTTGCAGAGTTGATTTTTTTAATCAACTTGTTTTTGAGTTGTATCTGCTGCTGACAATCAAACTTGAATGTATGACATGCTGTTATCGTCTTAACCAATTATCTTTCTTTCTTTCTTAGATCTACCCATCAGACGTCCTGTCACTTATTTTCAGAGGGCAGCTGAAAGCCACAGGTCACATGACCTGGAAGAAAAAACCCAGGAGATTTTTGGGATCGCTCTTCGGTAAGACATGTTAACATCATTGATTGTTTCTGGTTTTACTGACCAGCTGTTCTTAAAATTTGGTCACGGAGAAAATTAATTTGCTTATAATTAATTAACTGAAAATCTAATAGATAATACAAAGTATTTGTTTAAATCTGCTGCAAGCTAATTATATTTTTGTGTGTTGGGTTTTAGCATGGGCCGCCTGCCAAGCTGAAGGGAAGTCAAAAGGCTGATGATCTGATTCTCAGTGGAACGAGCTCTGCTGTCCTTTATGCTCTGGGAACACAACTCCCAGAATAAATCAGGTGAGGAAACAGATTAATTGGTATGTCAATGTAAAACTGATGAGGGGCATCACTGAGACGTTTAAACATGCAAGCGTCAGGAAGAAATGGGTCACTAATGCTTACATTTTTCAGGAAAAAAATATGGGGGTGTGTGATTACATTTTTGCTCACTTTTCATTTATGCTTTTAATTACCGTAATTTCCAGACTATTGAGCACACCCGAATATAAGTCGTTCCCATTAAATTAAAAATGAATAAATAATATTGTACTTAGGCTGCACTTGTCTATAAGCTGCAGGTGTCCATGTTGTAAGTAGGGATGCGGCCGATCCGATCCAGTATCGGCATCGGCCTCCGATACCAGCATAATTTACATATCGGATTTTTCTGATCCAACCTGCAGATTTCCGATCCAAGATGCATGTTGGCTTCAAACTATGGAATGGATTTCCTGAACGGAGGCGTGTCTCATGAACCTTATTAAGACCCGCCTCACATTCAGGAAATACCTTTCATAGTTTGTAGCCAGCTACAATGTGAGGACTGCGCGAGTAGCACTGTGGCTAACGACTAACCAACTTTTTATCAAAGCATATCTGTCGTGTGGAAGTATTTTACACTAGAAACACCACAAAACAAGATGGAAACGTGCAATGTCTGCAGAGCCATAGCACCACATTAAACCTCTCTCTCTTGCATATCTTCCGAACCATAATTATGGACTTGATTTGATCAGTTGGTCCCTCAACTCAATTTACAACATTTCTTCGAAGAGAAGACAGGCTTTAGGCGAGCCGATTTGCCCTGTTGGCACGCACGCAGCTGGATATCTCATCGACTGGAAGACTTGATGATGGGTCTATCTCTGCTGCCATCTGTGGATTTTAAGGATGCATATTTAATTGGATTTACGATAACTGGTTCCTGCTTTTTGGATTTGGATAGTTGCTGGTTTTATCTACAATCAAGGAAGTCGTCGTCAGCAAATTTGGATCCGATCACGCTGCTTGCCTTTATGATGGCTTGGTTCGTGTCTCGAGTACCCAGACTCAAATGCTTTGGGCTGAATGGATTAGATCTTGGGGATTTTACTCAGTCACGTTCCATTGGTGTGGCCATGTAATTTGGACATTTCGGAACCGAGTCGACCAACACAGACTCAACGTAGATGTCATTAAGTTCTGTCTGTCCCCAAAACAACTGTGTCTTTATCTGAATATAGCTCCCTTGGCTGGCCTTGAAGGCCATCTTCTCTGAATTTGCCTGGAGAACATGTGATCTGACGCTCATCACCCCCTCCCTGAGGAATTTCCAACTGATAACCAGATGAAACCAAAATTAATATTTATCTCCCCCTTATTTAAAAAAAACAACTAAACAATCACTTAAATTTAATCACTTTTTAATATCCACTTTAAAGCTAGGGAAAAAAAACACATTTTCTTAGTGGAATTTAATTCTAACTTTGAAACTTATCCAACAATATAAAATTTACCTCAAGTTGCCTTTTTGGACATGCATGCATATATTTGTACAAATTATACTTGAGAGGAGATTATTACAGCCTCATATAAAATCAATAATGATGATGATATCGGAACTGGATCGGTATCAGCCGATATCGAGATTTAGGTATCGGGATCGGAAGTAAAATAATGTGGATCGATGTATCCCTAGTTGTAAGATGAAATATTTTCACAGAAAGATTTTTTTAAACTTTTAATTAAATATGTGCCGGTAACGTACACAAATATGTACAGTAAGTTTATTTTTTCCTTAACAGTGCCGGTAACACGACTGGTAAAAAAGAGAGGAAAAAAGAAAGCCTACCAGAAAGTCATTGATTGCTAACTTCAAATCCCACTCATCCCCTCTGTGACCTGTTTCATTTTTTCAATTTCATTGTTCAGATTTTTTTAAACTTTTATTTAGACAGGTAGTCTCATTGAGTCACAAGGACCCACCCCCCATGAGAGACGTGCATTGAGCAGTTCTGTGAGCACCCAGGTGCGATGAGGCTAAATGTTTTTGGTGACATGAAACTGGTTAGCCCATTAAAAAAATAAAAATCCATAAATTATTTGCAGCATTGTATAAGCCGTGTGTTCAAAGCCTGTGAAAAAAGTAGCGGCTTATAGGCTGGAAATTACGGTATGTAGTTCAGTATATTTTTAAATGATGAGGAACATAATATTTTATTGTAAGTTGAATCACTTTGCAAAAACATGTCAAGTTCCTTCTCTCGTTCTCAAAAACAGGCAGGATCGACTCGATAACAGTTAGTGCCAAAAAAAAACCAGTGATCTGTTAGCACTCAGGGTATGTTTAGGATGACCCTCAGCATCTACCATGAGCTCAAATTTAAAGCAATGTTTTTTTTTTGTTTGACTAGCTGTGGCAGCCATCTTGACCACCATCAAGTTATTACCAAAAGATAATTTCTTGTGGATTTTCATCCAGTGATTACTTTCTGAGAGTTTCATAATGATCTGTCCAGTAGTTAATGAAAAGTTTTGCTAACAGACCAGCAAACATGTGCATGAAGGACACAGTCAATTACATGATTGTCCCCCTTTAAGGGCAGCAGGTAAATACAAAACAGAACTAATTAGCGCCTTTAATTAAATGTAGCCTGTGAAAGAGACAACTAGTGCAATATGTGTTTTCAAAACCTTTCCAATGATTAGTTGAACTTCCTCTACATGATTTTATTGTAGAGTTTATTCCTTTCCCAATTTAGAATGACAGCCTTAAATAAAAAAATCAAATAGATTTACAACTTAAAAAAAAACAGAAAGCAGCAAATTTATCACCTCAAACTGGAAAATGTGTATTCCTCTATAGATTTTCCAATTTACACTTGAACCACAAAATCGGCCTCTGTGACGAATTTAAACTAATCTGAGCTGCCGCCACACATTATGGAGGAGCCCACGTGTGTTGCTGTGACTAACGCCGCCTGGCTTCAGCTTTCTTAAAAGTTTTGAGGAAGAAAGGAATACAGATTCACATATTTCCTTTCAGGATTCTGCTGCCTATTTGCCTACCCCACTTCCTGTTTGTGCTTAAATCCTTTGAGCGTGTTTGCGTGCCTGTGCATTCACCTGCGTGTGTTTTGATCATTTATTACTCGCAGCTACGCTTCATCGTGTGCAGAATGAGGTAAATCTAAGCTGACTGTCTTTACTGCGTTGGACTGATCCGACTAAGACTGAAGATACTGGCTTCCTGTCAGAATCCTGGAAGGGAGGATGTCTGTGCTTCTGCTCCCTCTGACCATATTAACCAACCACACACACACACACATACACACACATGTTCTTGCAAACGTACATTTTGGGGACTTTACATTGACAACATACCTTTTTGGGACTTGACATTGACTTCCATTCCTTTTTATAAATTAACCCTGGCCCATACCCTAAATCTAACCATTACTAGTACATGCCTAACCTTAGCCCTAACCCATCCACAGTTCACACCTTAGTCCTAAACCTAACCCCCCAATGAGACTTAGCCTTATGGGGACCTGGCTTTGGTCCCCATAAAAAGCAGTTGGTTCTCACAATGCATGATTTTTTGGGGTAAAATTGGTCCCTACAAGGTAATCTGAAGCAAAACACACACGCAAACTGCAACTACAAACTGTTTACTTAAAAATACTTTTACACAAACAGATCAAATCACTTCAGACCACAGAAAAAATTTATTTTATTTCTGATCACAAACTCTTGGTTTCCATTTATTTTTGAGCATTTTATTTTTTTCTTTTGATATTCAGATTTCTGGGGATAACAAAACAAAGTTAGTCTCAGAAAACATCACAGACGTGAGCTCGTTGTGATCTTTGTTGCAAATGGTTTGTTGAGTACTTATGTACAAGGTTAGCTCATCACAAAGAATAAAATCACTACGGTAACTGAAACACATTCAAATAAATCATGAAGATATAGAGCAAATGTAGTTTTATTTATTAAATTAATTTTGTTTTTACAAATATTTTCTAAATGTTGTAATATTTCTAAATATGTAGTTGTTTTAGTTTTAGCCGATATTCTTTTTTATAATTGTTTTATCTGTTTGAGATGCAACATCATTTATTTAAGGTGGTAGAGAACCATTGTGCAAATGTTTTAAAACAATAATATAACATTATGAGACAGATTTTCCAAAAGGTATGAAATTCAAAACAAAAAGAAGCATTGTGCAATAAAATCAGGGGAATTATATAAATAATAATTCATATTTTCTACAGGAATAACAGAAGTGAAACAGAAATATAAATTTAATTCAAAAGTTCAGATTTAATTTAAATATGTGAAAAGAAGAGAGTGTCTTAAAGCTGTTCTGAAAATTATTCAAAACATGTGAAGACAAGAAAACAAAGCGTCATAGATTTATTTAACTGGGTTTTGTGTCAGTCAGTAACAGCTTGTATGAAATGACAAATATGACAAACAATATAAGCAGGTAATGTAAATAAAACCATCTTAATGATGATACTTGCATTACTTGAAGGAATATGTATTACCCATCACCTTGCATGCAAAAGTTTTAAACAAAAAACACAATTTCTTAATGCTTGGAGTGAACATTTGGAATGACTCTCAGCTACTACCACGCTAAACTTTGCTCAGTATCAGGTTCAAATCCCGGTCTGGGGGCCTTTCTGGGTGGAGTTTGCATGTTTTCTCCGTGCATGCGTGGGTTTTCTCCGGGTACTACGGTTTCCTCCCACAGACCAAAAACATGCATGTTAGGCTGATTGGTAACTCTAAATTGTCCCTAGGTGTGAGAGAGAGAGTGAATGGTTGTTCGTCTCGTTTGTCTCTATGTGGCCCTGTGATGGACATGCGACCTGTCCAGGGTGTACCCCGCCTCTCGCACAGTGATTGCTGGACATGGGCACCGGCGACCCCCGTGACCCAAAATGGAAGAAGCGGGTAAAGATATTGGATGGATGGATGGATTTTTGAGGCCTATGTTTGTTGTTTTCTTATGTTTGGAAAGTTAATTT